ACACACACACACACACACACACACACACACACACACACACACACACACATACACACAGAGAGATAGAGAGAGAGAGACGCACACGCCCACACACGCACACATGCGAACGGATTTTCACCCACGAGCTCATGTTTATTCAGAACTCGTTCGATACGAGTACATCCGCCATCACGACTTCAGACATAACCCGATCTCGAACGCTGTGCTTACGCCCTTTGTTAATTAAAGAATCCATATATTAATATCTTCTGGAGCGATGCCTCGGTGGTAGATGGCGCGTGACGCATGCTCGCCTTTAACCGCTTATTCACAATTACAACGTTTACGCCGACGGTGAGCGATAGCAAGATGCTGCTGCTGCTGCTGATGATGATGATGATGATGCTGATGCTGCTGCTGCTGCTGATGATGATGATGATGCTGCTGCTGCTGCTGATGATGATGATGATGATGCTGCTGCTGCTGATGATGATGGTGATGCTGCTGCTGCTGCTGATGATGATGATGCTTCTGTTGCTGCTGCTGGCGAAGTTTGATGCATCTATCCATCTTCATAGTGAATGAATTCAGTTTTTATTTTCAGGCGGAGTATTCTAAAGCGCACAATAAATTCTGAGAGATGCCGTGAAAGCCATAGAGTATCGCAGCTGATCACAGTGTACATAAAAGCGCGATGCAATATTGAAAGAATCTTAAATCTATACATCGGCTAAATGCTTGTTAAATAATTAATTTGTGTATTCAGGATGTAGAAGCTGCGGTATACGTGCGTAGAAACGCACGAATGCGAGCCGTAAATCATAAATTGACGTCGGCCTAAAAACATTCCAATTAAGGCAACACGCGTCTAGATGTTCGGTGATCGCCTCCCGCACACACTGTTCTGCTGCCCATTGATTAGCAACCTGGGATTATCTAGTTAATATAGCAACTCCGTGCAGATCAGCGATAAAGAGAGGGAGTGATCTGACTGATCATAATTACCTTAAATCAATGGCTCGTCAATATGGTAAACTGTAATTTCGTTTATTGGTCGATCGTTGTGCGCTATCGATTTTTTCAATTCAATGAAGAATTTCAAAACGAACACCGAAATTTGTTTCGGTAATCTTATTTGGCACAAGATTAACTTCCCTATTAATAACTTATGGAATCTTGCAAAAGAGGAAAATGCTTTTTACGCGCAGGTGTAAAGATAAGTGAAGACTACATTCTACTTGCATAAGCTTAACCAAATTATATTTCGTTTATGCAAATATAATGCATAACATAGATCAATCGCTATGCTACCGCATAAGTATATTCGTGAAGGTTAGGCGTATTATAATTAATCACGTAAATCCTTGGAATAGCTGAAACCTAAAAAATCTTGGGATAGGAGGGAGCGTAATTTCGTGATTTAACTGGGTATAGTGACGACATGGACGTCCTTTTTACGGGAAATAAACCCCATATGCCTATAAGATAATATTAGACGGATGAAATAATTTTCCTCTAATCAATTTATCGAAATTCCTTTATTTTATCTTCTTCCAATTTTTAGAAAATCACTTACATTTTTAGACGTGTATTTTCCTAAAGATCTAGAGGGAATTTGCGTCATTGTTCTTCGGTGACTATGGCCGGGAGATATAGGATAGAGGCTTATATGAACCTTCGTCATCTTCTGAATAAAGTGTTTTGAGCGACGCTGAACGGGA